TTTCTTGTGGACCATAATTGACATTTGATGTATCACGTGATCACTTAATTGGGTATCTGGTAATACACAAATGGAATGAGGCGGGAACAGTTATATATAAAGATTAAATTACATTAGACACGTGTCCACTTATTCCTTATTAAGCAAGTACAAAGCATCATTTGTCACAATGGAATCAGGCGGGAACAGTTATTTCCCAGCCGATTCCATTGTTAAATATATAAAGATTTGTTATTTTATTTGGGAGCATTTATCTCTCTTACGTAAATTCAATTGGCAATTAAAGATTAAGCTCACTAGATTTGATCTTTTGTGTTTTCATATCGAGTTAGTTAGCAACTCATTTGTATAAATTAAGCTCACCGATCGCGGTTTACTTTTCCGTAAAGGAGTATAGTATAGGAGTATAGTATATACTATATATATACATTATTCTTGACTTCTCATGCATATAACATTTTACACAAATATAATTAGTTCTCAATCCAGAAATTGCCCAAAATAGGAGTAAAAACATTTTAAAATTCCAAAATAGGAGTATCATGTTTTTTATTTCCTGAATAGAAGTTAATCTGCCAAATTTGGAAAAAAATGTCATGTTTAAAGTCTAGTAATGTCAAACTTTGCAGAAATTTACTTCTATTCATAGAATAAAAAACATGATACTTCTATTTTGGAATTTCAAAACGTTTTTACTTCTATTTAGGGAATTCTCTCTTTTCAATCATTGGTTTATATGACTACCTTCAATTAAGATGGACTTGGGAGTTTTTTTTTAACCCGGAGGTTTTGGGGTGAAGGCCATGAAACACCTCACCTATTTATTGAATTTAGAAAAATACAAAGAGTATGAGGACTTAGGAATTGTTATGTTAATTTTAATTCTGTTACTTATTGTTTATTCTTATTGTAATCATCATATTTTATAAGAAAATGTTAGATGAAAATATGTCATAAAGTTTTGGATCATATCATACAAAAAAGATTCAAATCACAAATATTGAGATACGATGAAATGTTATTGCTATTATTGTAATCGTTGTTGTTATTATTACCCCTCTCCCCAGAAAATCACCAAATTGGTGGGGTAAAAGTTGAGAAACTCTTATAGAATTTTATTAAAATCATTGTTATTAAAGAGTACAAACGCGAATGAGGGAAGAAAAATTAGAAAAATAAATAAAGCTGATGAGTAGGAAAATGATTAGGAAAGGAAAGAAACAGCTTCAATCAATAAAACACATGTCATCTCCTAAATATAACTTCACATATTCTCTCTTAGCGTTCCCTTGGTTTTAGCGGGAAGTTGAGCACTTCGTCTCAACTCAACTTGTGTTGGTGTTTTGTAGTTAGGATCACATAAACAACCTAGCAACTCTTAATCTGGATGACTGAATCATCACCTTTTGACTTAATAAAGTAGAGCTAAAGAGGCAAAAACCTAGTCTCATTCAACCTTTTGGTATATTAAAGGTGCCCCATTAACTTGAAAGGAAGAGTCAATTCACAACAAGTAATTGACCAATAATTTCCTGATTGAAGACGATATAAAGTAGGCTAAAGGGTCAAATAGGCCCTTGAACTGACATAAAGTGTTCAATTAGTCCTTTATATAGGAGGTTCTGCCCGTCCGTCGCCAATTGGGGCGGTTCCCGGTGGATTTTTTTGATGAAATTTTTTGAGCATCTTCTTCATTAAGTCTAGTTTACTCATGTCATATTTTAGCTAAAACATCAACCGGGAAGGCAGTCAAATGATGTTTTGAAGATAACTGCGAAGTTAAACAGCGCAGTACATTTCCTTTCACCTGATAACCCCATCTTTGCCAAGTAAAATAGAAAATTTGTCTCACTCCTTGATTTGACTGATTTTTAGCATTAAAGATGCAAGCAAAAAACAAAACAAAAAATTACTTTCAATGTCAAATCGTTTGTGTTGAACTCAAGGAGTCTGATATGATCCCACCATCCCAATGATCCTTTTGATGTCTTCTCCTGGTGACATTTTCTGATCTTGAGGGACAAAACTCCTGGTAACTCCTGGTTGAGGTTCCTCATGAGGAAGGTAAGAGGTTCCTCCGATGTGCGATGAGAGTCCTCCCTCGTACCGCAACACCGTCTCCATTCTTCCTTAGTATTCGCGTGATGGGGATCCGTAGACGGTCTCCCACCGTGCCTAACGGGTGTTGGTGGATCCTCACAAAGCCATCATCGTCCATCCCTGGTAGGCGTCCTCAATCGAACTCCGTTATATCATTTGTTGTTATTAGTTACAGTATTATTATTGGTATTATTGTCATGACTATTATTATTAATCAAAATTACTCTTTCATTATAGTACTCCTTCAATTCCCTCCCAAAAAACTGTTCTCACGATCTAAAACTGATAAGATGGAATGCTTGAGAACCCTATTTTGCTTTTCACGTATTTATCTGGCCGACTCCCCTCACCTACTTGCCCTCCTCTCTCTAATTTACTCAGCTTGCCCATCCGTTTTTGCTACTATGATGCTTCGATAGGTTTCTAAGTATGGTTGTTCAATACTCTAAAGCTCAAATTTTATAAGTGGTTTGTGTAATGCTTGTATAGTGGTAATGTGAGGTAAATCTTGTCTCACTACCTACTATGATGACTAATAAAGTCTGAGTTATGGTAGTGTAGTAGTACTATGATGAATATGTTGTGTGAGTACTGGGATATTGTAAAGCTGAAATGTTGTAAATGATCTGTGTAATCATAGTGTGAGGAAAATATTGTTTCACCATCTAATATGATTACCCATAATGTCTGAGTGAGGATGAATATGTTGTCTAAGTATTGTTGTGTGATATTGTGAAGCTGAAATGTTGTAAATTGTTTGTATAATATTAGTTTGAAGAAAATATTGTGTTCATATCTATTTTGATGACCAATAAGGTCTGACTAAGGGTTGTGTGGTGATACTGTGATAAATACGTTGTCTGAGTACGATTGTTTACTACTATAAAACTAAATACTATGTATGTTCTAAATTATTGGTCTAATAGTTGTGTAATGGCAGTGTGAGCAAACATTGCCTCAATGCCTAATATGATGATGTTGAGGTTTATTCCTTCAAACTCCAAAGGCCCAACATCTTCCTTTGGGTTTCGAGTGGAATATTTTGTGGATTATAAGTGATGAATAATCACAAGCAACAATGAATAAGCAAATAAGTCAATCTAGCAAGTGGACCGTATCTTATTACTCAATAATAAGGTCTATTACATCACACTCTACTATGAGCCCGCTAGGCCGATCGTCTATCTGAGCTAGGAAGAGGGGGGAACAATTGCTATTGATAGAGAGTATAAATTGTCAACCCTTTACAATGAAATAATTGCTACCATTTATACTACCAAGGGATAGGTGATGTTTATGATGTGGAAGATTGTGAGTGGCGAGCTTCCCAACCACCAAATACATTGCATTAAATGTGCTTCCCGCCAATATCTTGGTTTCCCGCCAATGGGACCGAACGAGTATCCTCTTGGGCTTGGGTTCCGGACCCTAGTGAGTACAAGGACAGGGCTCCGCTCGGCCTAGGTCAGTTGTTCTCCCTGAGGCCCTCTGGATCATCGCCTGGCACAACCGGCCCAAGGACATTGACATCGAGCGTCTTTGTTAGTAAGACGAGCGTTCATCTAGCATCTTGCTGAACCGTGCCTAAATTGGGCCTTGCTGGTTTTCCTACAAAAGGATAATGGGTTGATCTCCTGTTGAACCTATTAACCCAACACAAGCCCCCCACTTCTGATGTTCCGAGCGTGCGCGGAACATAAGGAAGTATATATGTTGTTCCGAGCGTCTACAGGGTGATAGCATCTTCAATAAATACTGGCCCAAACGGGTGGCTTAGGGTTTTCAAATTTTCGCTCTGCTGCCCCTATGTGCTTGCTGCTACCCCGTTCGGAATCATCGGCCATCAGCTTCCCTTGTTCACCGAGTTTTTAGGTAATCCCCCTCTCTAATTCTTTCTTTCTCGTTCTTTAATTCTTCAATGTCGATCCCAACGGAGCCGGGTGTGGATTCTCATTTGTCCTTCGAGTCTGATTCGACTTCTCACTCCTCAGGGGAAACCAGTGCTTTAGGAAGCACCGGGTCTTTTGCTTCGACGGGGACGTTGCCGTCCACGATGATGCCCAAGGAGACATTGCTCAAAGGAACGTCGCCCAAGGAGAGGCCGCCCAGGGAAATGCCGTCGAGCCTCAGCCTGAAGACCATGATTCCCGAGCATTGGCTTTAGAATTTAGTCTCTAACACTCATGTTAATCAAGATTGCATTGTGTCAAAAGTAAATGAGCATTAAAGTACAAAAAAAACATCTTCAAATCAATGAATGCAAAAAGTAAGCTTCCACACCTCAAGAAAATCGGGAAAAAGAAAGAAATAGTATAAAAGCAAGTAACTAACTAATGGATTGAATCATTAATTTGGGATGTATTGGAGAGTTTATATAAGCTAAGAAATTATCCTTAATGGTCTGTTTTTTATCCTAAATCATTTTGGAGAAACATTTTCGAGTCACAACCTCCAAATATTTTCACTTCAAGTCAAAACCATCTTGCACGTTGTGCTGTTTGGTGCAGATTTAGACAGGACTTGCGTCGATTTGGGGTGTTCAGCGCAAGTTTTCCAACACCAAAGTCATCCACTGAGTTGGTTATCGCCAGTGGAGCCAATTCATTCCCAAATCGCACGTACAAACTTTCAGGTGCCTTTTTACTTCAACAGTTGACCTAGAAGTGGTGGTTTTTATCCTTTTAACTTGTGACTTCATTTTCTTCGTTTTTTATCATATTTCAAGTTTCCGATTGACATTTTATCTGATTTCCTTTCTTTTCCTATAAGACATGAGTAATTATTGCAACTGTCAATATTACATATACTTTCAAAGAAAAATTCTTTGGTAGTTTAGCTTTATTTATTGTCCACCTAAACGTCATAACTACTTTTTAACACCAAACCAACAAATGTTATAGCCTACCACTACGTAATTGCAAAATTTGATGTAAAATACAGTTCAATTTCCCATTGTTGACATCGCATTTCTTTGAGCATCAAACAAACACATTTTATAGCCTACTGCTTGATAATTGCGAAATTTGATGAAACATTCAAGTTTCCAAGACAAAACCACATATCACATCCTTTTAGAGAGCCTGAACTATAGTGCTTACTCATAAAGTAAAACTAAGATTGATACAGCAATGTCCAGCTAAGAGACAGTTGCACGTTGAAGTTCAAACTCTATCACTGCTTGGTTGATTGCATCGACAATTTCCAATTTCCTTGCGATCAACGCCTCATCCAGTGGAGTCTTCTCATGGATGTTCAGCGCTGACACACTCGCTCCAGCAAGGATCAAGCTCTTGACTACCTCAATGTGACCATTAAGGCAAGCCCAATGAAGAGGTGTGTTTTTTTCCTCGTTAGATGCATTGACATCCACTTTACTACCAATGAGATACTTTACAACATCAAGATGCCCATTGGCTGAAGCCATATGAAGTGCAGTTCGGCCCTGTGAATCCTTTGAATCAAGAGATACACCAGATGATACTAAGCTCTTTATATCTTCAATTTCAGCATATCTTGCCGCCTCGAGCAGGAGATTGACCATTTCCAGCATTGAATCGTTTGACCTCTGTTCAGCCATAGTCAACGCACATTCCACCACCATTCCTAAACTGAGATGTCAGCCCAACTGGTCAGAAGCTGCGGGTCGGTCGGGTTTAACACACGCACAACTATTTATTTTCGTTTAGATGTTTGATGAGAAATTGTACCTCAGGAATTAATTTGTATTTTAGCATTAAAATTAAAACTATTATTCATGTATCATTAAATAATGTACTTGAGCTATGTTATTGATAGGACACTGGTAGTAATGAACACAGAACAATAACAATTCTAAGAGAAATGCAGCTAGAACAGATCACAAACAGTATACTGATAGAGAGAGAAAGTCGGTAAAGGTGTACAGGGGTGGGACAGTTCGAGATGCCCAATCTCCAAGCTACCAGCCAATGACAAAATAACAGCCTGCCTTATTTGGTTCTCTACTTACTATTTATAGCTCCTTGTCCACGCAGGGACCAACCCAACTAGCTATTATATAGTTAAGTAATAATACTACTTATTTCTCCTCTTGTACACCTTATTGAAGTATTGAATAGGCTGTTGCTGTCCCCCAAGCCTATCAGTTGTCATGATAATAGTAGTACTTATATTTATATACACACACTAATATTTCCTTTAGAAGAATTTGTAATTAGATAATATATTTATGGGGTAATAAATAAATACATAAATGACATTACTAATGCTATATTTGACAGTATTGTCCAAGCATTGTCCAAGCATGACAGTAATTATTTCCTTTTAGGGAATAGAACATAGTACTCATATTTTGAAATTTCACATTGTTTTTACTCCTATTTAGGACAACTTCCGCTCAACATATCATTAAACGTGCCATATTGGGAACCATAGTTAACACGAAGACCACAAGCATGGGCACGAACGTATAGTAAGAACCCAAATGACATTCAGCTTGAGCATAAAGAGTAGAACATGATTCATTGTGGTCAAAAGATTCCTAAAAATGTCTGAAAGTGTAAGAATGCATATTGCAATATATGGGTAAGTGATGAACATATGTCAGTTAGGACAATGATATGGCAATATATAAGTGAAACAACAAAATATTTTGCAACGTTGCGAGTACACAGAGTAGTATAGGACTCATAGGTTGTAGTATAGGAAACCTATGTAGTATAGGACTATGAGTATAGGACTATGAGTATACAAACATAGTCAATATTTTGTATTTCAATATTTAAGTGAAACCTATGAGTCCTATAACCGGAAAAAAAATCATATTGTAGTATTGTGTCTTTTTTCTATATTTTAATCCTATCTAAAGCAATTCCTTTTGAATATTTAGTTTGTAAATAACATTCTTCATTTTAGGATTCATCTAGTACCGCTCAATGAATATGTTAATTTTATTCAGACCGTGCCCATGTTTCTGTGCAAAAATTCTACAAGTTCGGGGTGTATGATTTCTTGTAGTTGTAAAGTTTGATACCACGTATATTACACCCTTGAAATTGTATTGTCTAAGGTTACGAAAAACGGACTCAATTAAGATTGAAATTAAAATCGCAGCATAAAAAATATAACAACTGAGATTGAAAAGGCTGAATTGATTTGAGGTTTTATAGGATATAGGGAATCAGCTGGGAATCAAACAAACAAAAAAGGGGATGGTAGCATGGTAGAACCCTAAAAGTCCCTCATCAATCAAATCCAAGTATGGTAGAACCCTAAAGTCACGCAACAATGAAAACAAATAACTCATACACAAACATAACAGAAGAAAGCTATTCTCGTTTACAATGTTTCATCTGGGCTCGGATTTATCAATCCTTTACGCAGATCATGTTGCTGCGCGCTAAGTGAGGTGATAGGGACTAGATTCGGACACCTAAATAATGAAGTGAAAGGAAAGATGATTCAATTACACAAACAAAAACGACGCACCTTCAATGGAGTGATGGACGGATATTAATCTGCAGCTCCTGCGCTGTTGCCTTTCTCTATGATGGAGTAGCAAAACAAAGAGCGTTTAAGGTTTTTTTAATTATTTACTTTTTTTTTATGAATGTATTGTATTACAAAAAAAATTAAAGTTATTGCAAATACTTGAATATTGTATTATTTAAAAAGTAAATATGTATTAAACATATTGGGCATACTTTGATACATTCTTCAAGGAGAATAATGTGCAAGGTATTGATGATCTTATTAGAAAAAATTCCACTTTTGGTCTAATGTCTATTATACCACTTCTACATTTAGTCTCTTACTTTCAGATTGTTCATATTTAGTCCGTGACCATTATCCCCTCACCACCCCTCGTCCTTCGGACAAAAATTCTGGCAAATTTAGTCCACTTATCAGCCTCAGAATCAGTCTTTGCATTAAATTTTATATAAGGTTGGGTTTGTCATATCAGTCTTTGCATTAAATTTGGTTTTTCATACCTAAAATCTGCATTAAATTTGTCTGAGTTTTGGCCGGAAGGACGAGGGGTGGTGAGGGGATAATGGTCACAGACTCAATGTGGACAATCTGAAAGTAAGGGACTAAATGTGGTAGTAGTATAATAGTCACAGGACCAAAAGTGGAATTTGTTCATCTTATTATACGAGATTGTATGGTAAATCTGGATTTTGTGAGAAGGATCCAAATGTCAGAAGTTAAAGAGGCTTTGAGAAAGATGGGGCGGAAGAAAGGAGTGGGTCCGAATGGCATACCAATCAAGGCCTCGAAAAGTTTGGGAGGGAGAGACATCAAGTGGCTAACAAATTTTTTCAACATGATTTGGAGAAACAACAAAACGTCAGTGAGTTGGCGGAAGAGTATTTTCATTCATCTATTTTAAAATAAGGGTGATGTACAATAATGTGACAACTATTGAGGGATTAAGTTTATGAGTCACACCACGAAACTTTGGGAGCAGGAGATTGAGCAAAGACTCCAAAAAAATGTGAAAATTCGGAAAATCAGTTTGGTTTTATGCTTGGATGCTCAGCAACTAAGGTTATTCACCTTCTTAGACGAGTTGTGGAGAAGTATAGAGACACTATAAAGGATCTACATTTGGTGTTCATTGACTTAGAAAAGGCATATGATAGGGTGTCTTGAGAAGTCCTTTGTAGTCCTTGACTAGAAAAGGCATATCATGTACTGCAAGTGTCCGTACTAGTGTGGGGGGACTGTGAAGTTCCCTATTACTATCGGAGTGCACCAAGGATCGACTCTGAATCTTTTCTTATTTGCTATAGTCATGGATGAACTTACAAAGTCAATTCAAGAAGACATATTGTGGTGCATGATATTTGTTGACAATATTGTATTGATTGATGAGACACAATCGTGGGTTAAAGCAAAGTTGGAAGTATGGGGACAAACTTTTGAGACCAAGGGTTTCAGACTATGTCAAAGTAAAACAGAGTATATGGAGTGCAAGTTTGGTAGAGGTAGAAGTAGTAGTAACAGTGGGATTACCTTTGATGACAAGGAGATATCGGTGTGTGATATGTTTCGATATATGGGCTCTATAATTCGGAAGGATGGTTAATTAGATGGAGATGTATCCCATAGAATCAGGGAAGGGTGGATGAAGTGGAAGAGTGCATCGAGATTTATATGTGATCAAGGTATGCCAACTAGACTGAAGGGTAAATATATCAGAAAGCAATTAGGCCTGCACTAATGTAAGGCGTAGAGTGTTTGTGTGCGATATGCCCAGATACAACAGTCGAATAATCTAATAATATTGAATAGAATTTAAACAGTAGAAGAGAAATTTCATCAATAATGTATACCGTGTATATAGAATGATGTATCCATGAAGAACAACTACACAGTACTCGAACGTATCAGCTAGAGAGAGAAATTCTAGTCTACTGGCTCTACAGAGAATAATATGCGGAATAGAATGTGTAGAGACTTAGAGCTGATTTCGACCAACCCCTTCTGAATTTATAGGGAGTAGTTCGGCCAGCCCTATTACAATTAGGAAGCAACAGCTTTAGGCGTGTGGGCTTATTTGAGCCAGATTAAATGGGCCTAATTCTCTCTCAGCTAATCTAATTAAAATGCAAAGACTCATTAATTAAATTACAATTAATTTGAACACAATAAAATAATATTCTAACAGTGTTGGGCAGTGAAATAATGTCACATTCAAAAGATGAGTGTGGCAAAGATGTGTATGTTACGTTGGATGTGTTGACATACCAGAAAAGACCGCTTGAAGATTGAGATAATCTGACAATTATCTCAATTATGGTGGGAGTAGCAATTATAGAAGATAAGATGCAAGAGTCTCGATTGCGATGGTATGGTCATGTGCGTAGAACACCAAGTGATGCACCCGTTAGACGAGTTGAGAGCTAGGGAGAAGAGGCGGGTAGGAGGGGGAGGGGAAGACCCAAACAAACTTGGATTAGAGGAATCAAAACTTATATATTTTTTCTTGGATTGGATGATAGTATGGTTTTGGACAGAGTAAAGTGGGGGGCGCATATACGCGTGGACGATTGATCTCTTTTCTTCCTTTTTTTATCTTTTATTTTATTTATCATTCTATGCTCTTGTGTTATTTTCATCTTTTATTTTTCTTATATCTTTTGTCTCTTTAATCTTTTATCTATCTTATGTTTCTATGTTATTTTTATCTTATCCGTTTTATCTTACCTTACTTTTTTATTTTTCTTATTTCTCTTCTCTTTTTTGCTCTGATATCTTGGTTCGATTAATGTTAGTTGACCCCAAAATTATTTGAGAATAAGGCTTGGATTTTGTTGTTGTATTAGTTCACACAAATAATTGGTTAGAATTATCAATTCCAAACTTAATATAGTAAATATTTGCTTTCTTGATTCCCTCAATTTGATAGTTTGGAGTCACACCTTCATTCATGTGCTTCACATATTCATTTGATATTCATTTGTAATATTGTAGTGCATTTTTGTCTACAAAATTTTGAGATGAGAACCTGGTGGGACCTCAACTTCTTATTTAGTAGTTTCTTCTTCTTGCAGAAGTATTTAGTAGTACAAAACCTAGACTCGAAGTCATGCCATATCATTGAGAGCACCATCTTTTCTTTTCCGATGTATCAAAAAAATGGGAAAGTTCCTGAAATAGGACTAAAATAGTTTCAAAATTCTAAAATAGGACTGTCATATTTTTTTATTCTCAAAATAAGACTAATTACTGCCATGTTTAGAAAATAATGCCATGTTTGAAGTCCGGTACTGCCAAAACATGGCATTAATTAGTCCTATTTTGAGAATAAAAACATGACAGTTATATTTTAGAATTTTCAAATTGTTTTAGTCCTATTTCGGGTAATATCTCAAAAAAAATGAGAATACCATCTTCTTTGGGCGTTGCACACCTCTTAATTCTCAGAGCTATAAGCCTATAAAGAGGGTTGATCTTAGAAATTTTAAGGCTTAAGTTGAAATTTTTGAGTCTCTTAAAAATAAGATTTCTATTGGAGTATTGGAATATTGAAAAAACAAAAGAAAATTTATATACGTAATAAATAAGAGACACTATTGGAATATTGTCTCTTAAACACAATACTTCAAAATATTTGCACCTAAATGATTATTGTAAAATATGGTCTAATAACTAATTACATACGGAGAGAGAAATCTTACTTTTCTTATAAGTTATCTTACTTTTTTTATATACTTTTTTTTTACTTCAGGAGACTGGGGGAGGGGGTCTGGGGGCCTGAAGTAATCAGGTCTGAAACTCACTTCATTAAGTTTCAAACCCTTATGTGCTTAGCGGGTTTCGAACTCGAGACCTTCCACTAGGCACGGTAATCGCACAACCAGCTGGGCTGGAATTTCAATAGCATACACATATTATACTACCTCTGTTCCTATTATAACTTCCAAATAGGTTTGGCACACAATTTAAGATAGTGGGTATTGTGTGGTGGAGAGTTATACAGAGGAGAGAGAAATGTGTAAAAAATGTTGTGAACCACAAAGTCTTTACCAAAAAGGAAAAATGGAAGTTTTAATTGGAACGAACGAAAAAGGAAATTTGGAAGTTATAATAGGAACGGAGGGAGTAATAATTTTCCATCATTTTCAATATAGCCAAAGACTCAATATTTTTTAGTTTGGGAGTATGATAGAATAAAGAAAAATGACTCATTGAACTGTTTGCGCTTTTTGTTATGAAACAACAGTCAATCCATGCAATTTTTGGCGTGGTTTTCATTATGGATCATCCGAAAACAGTCTCTGTGTTTTAGTACAGAGGTAACATTGCGTACATACAACACCCCTAATCACCTAGTGTAGGTAGGTGTCTTTACGACACTTGGGTAATGTTGTTGTTATTGTTGACATAATATACTACCTCCGTCCCGCAAAGAAGTTCTCATTTTTCTTTTATGGATGTCCCAAAAAGAAGTTCTCATTTCTATAAAAGGAAATTACTTTTGACCAAAATGTCACAACCACCCTTACTTTTTATCCATGTTTTGTTTGATTTGACGTAAAGTAAGGGTATATTGGTAAGTCAAAACAATACTCTACCTTACATAAATATGTATGTAGATCAAACTAGAAACTTCTTTGCGGGACGGAGGGAGTACTAAAACTATATCTATTAGTGGTGTTTTGCAATTAGTTTCAAGTGATAGTAAAATTCAATTTGGAGTAAACCAATAAATGTTGAACCTTTTTACCTCTTCAGGCACACACATGATATTAAAAATAAATATGTTAATCCAATTAGTTAGTCATTTTTCACACCAAAGGAAACAGATTAATTTAATTACTTAGTCATTTGTCTTAAAACATGAAATCAGTGAGATAATTTTAATAATTACTACGTATAAAAATAGTAAAGTAAATAATAAATCATGTAAAAAAATGTTTGCGAGAATTACTCATTTCAAGGATTGACATATATATTACTCCCACTGTTCCCAAAAATACTTCTCACTTTCTTTTTTGGGCTGTTCCCAAAAATACTTCTCACTTTCCCATTTTGGACAATTTGTGTGGCTCATATTCATTTTACCTTTTTCTTACATAACCACAACCATACATTTCCACTTTATTCCACTTTATTAATAAGCGTGCCAAGTCAAACCGGGAAGAATTTTTAGGAACGGAGGGAGTATGATTGAGAGATTTTATAAAAGGCCGAAACATCGGTTATGGAGTTTTGAGTTAATGGCCTC